CACTTTGAAATTTACTAATATTTTCCATTTATGTGTGCGCTGGCTTTCTCTCAACTGTTGGAGACTTTCTTCTTGTTCATTTTCTTTCTCCTCCAACCACTGCTGTATTCTCTCTTTATTATTTTGCTGTTTGAGTTACCACTATTGCAGGTTTTCTAGCCACTGCTGTTGTCTCTCTTCTTGTTTCTTTTCTCGTACTTCTTTCTTTTCTCGTTCTTCTTGTTTCTTTTCTCGTTCTTCTTGTTTCTTTTCTTTTTCCTCCAACAACTGCTGTAATATCTCTTCTTGTTTCTTTTCTCGTTCTTCTTGTTTTATTTCTTTTTCCTCCAACAACTGCTGTAATATCTCTTCTTGTTTCTTTTCTCGTTCTTCTTGTTTCTTTTGCTGTTCTTGTATTGCTACCATCAAATCCGCTAAGCTGTAGTTTGATTTGCCACTTCTCGTTTCCATCTTCTTTTTTTTTGTCCCACTCTCTGACACCTATTTGTTATGTATCTGCTCGTTTGTTAATTTCCCGTAAAAATTCTTTCCGAAGAACTTCAGCGATACACGTTCTTTCTTAAATAAAACTAGTTTATTCTTTCTCAATACAACTTTGCATTACACTCAATTTCCACAGTCACTTTCACTTAAACACACATTATAATTCACAACGATTCACGCACTTTATCTACGGTCACTGCTCGTTTGACTCAATTATCTGTCTCTATATATCTGTCTATCTGCCATTATATCTCCGCTTTATTTGCCAGGCTTTTATACAAAAATAGAGGGCACCTAGAAAAGACTAGAGTTGCCAGGAACAGTCATGATTTTTCTAGAAACTCCAGCGCGCATGCTTCCAGCGTCACGTGACTTCCGCTGTCGTAACAGTATATTCAAATTCTGATGTTTAACTTTCCTTTGGTTTAGAAGGTCTGAGCTCGTTTTTTTGTTGTTGTTATTGTTGTTTTCATATTAAATGTTCAATAATTCTAATTGTGAAGTACATATAATCATGTGGCCCTTGTCGTATTCTCAGGTGCGCTAATTTCTCCAAAACGGGAAGATTCCGCAGAATAACAGGAGGTTCGACAGAATTATATATAACGGAATAAATTTGAATTCTCTAATTTTGACTGAATTTGAAGATTGAAAGAGAAAGTGTGTAACAAAATGAAACAATCAATTGGATAAGTTATACAGAATAGCAAGAATTTCAACCAAAAATATATAACAGAGTAAATCTGAATTCTATATTCTCTAACTCTGACTGAATTTGAAGACTGAAAGAAACAGGACTAAGCATGTAACAAATGAGAAAATATTTATCCATTTAAATAAAAGCAGTCAAAGACAAGATGAATTCACGAGAGATGGTGCCTTTCCTGGAGACCTACATTACATGACTGAAGAATTTTCATGAAGTTATTAAGAACTGTGTCAGACCGAGAATACATTCCCATCACAAAATAAGGGAAGTTGTAACCTCAAGGTATCACCTGACCTCTCCAGTGGAAAATATCATTGTCCATTTCTACATAGTTATTTCACTCTTTAATAACTTTTCCTACTAGAAAACATACGTGATACCACATGTGAATGACTCAGGACTATGCATGCATAGCTAAAGCGAAAGGAACTTAGCTACTTTCATGAGTGATGTTCTGTGTTGCAGCCACGTAAACCTGCATGTATGTAATTTATGAAAAATCCTATCTTAGAAATTGTGAAATAGAAATTACCATAAGTAGTATCAACATTTATTCTTAGTTCTGAATATGTGCAGATTTACATATAATACAAGGCCAAGCAAGCTATTATGTTGATCATTTTCCAAGATATTTTTGTTCCTTTGTCATTTTCAAAGTAGGCAACACCTCTTACTGTGTGTGAAGAGCATAGCTTGAAGCAATGTTGCTTCAGGGTGTCGAGGTCATGATTCTTCACTAATTGTGCAGGTGTGATATGTAGGAATATCATGCATTTTCTACCTTCCATAGTAAAATAGAAATCTTCAAAATTATTGATTATTTAGTTCCACACTATAATGACAGCAACATGTGGTCCAGAGAGTGCTTCACAATGTCTTGCTCTTGTTGTTTTTCCCCGTATTCTATATAGGGGTGATGTCTCCACTATCCTTAGACATGTTTCACTATTGTACATAGAACTCTTGTTGAATGAGTTAAAAATGAAGTATCCTTGGCTGGTCATTTTATGACATTAACTGAAGATGACAACCAACCAGTGCTGTCAGGGAACATAGGTCATGAGGTTACACCTTCTACTGGACAAAGAATGAGCAATAATTCTAGATGTGAGCACACTTTTTTTGTTAAGTTATACTTGAATTTCGTTGTGACTAATTCAGTAGAGATTCATCTTGAAGGATGGAATGTCGACAAGCTAATCATTGATCCACTAGAGGCAATCATCCACTTCTCTACACAGATATGCATATCGCATTGTTTTTTGTCCCAATAAATATTGTTTTCATTGTCCTTTAAATGTGTATAATCCGTTTATTTTTCATGCAACTTAAAATACAGTTAAGTTATAATTTACAGAACATCCCATTTATTTCCTGATAGAATCTGCTCTAATTGCAAGTTTGCCTGTTTATACTTGTTGGGAAATTGGTTTTATCTGAAAATACTACCAGGGGCGTTGGCTGTTTTAGTTGTGGAGGTGGGGCTGGAAGGGGTTTGTTCCGTATCCTATAACAAAAATGTTTTGTGATTATTATCTTTACCTCAGTCATTTTATATATCATTGGTATTTAGTATTGAATGCATCAATTTATAAAAATATATAAATCACAACATTAGTATTGTTACGACAGTGGAAGTCAAGTGACGCTGGTAACGCATGATTAGTTTCTAGAAGGATCATGAAGGCTCGAGTGTTTTCCAGACGCCCTCTATTTTAATATATAAGCCCGGCAACTAAAGTGGAGATAATAATCGAGTCAAGTCGTAAGTAAAGTGCGTGAATCGTTGTGAATTATAGCGTGTGTTGAAGTTAAAGTGACTGTGGAAATTAAGTGTATTGCAAAGTTGTATTGAGAAAGAATAAACCAGTTTTATTTAAGAAAGGACTTGTATCACTGAAGTTCATCGGGAATAATTTATACCGGGAAATTAACAAACAACTAGAGACATAACAGTATTATTGTAACAAATTTGCAGACGCTTATACTTTTTGTCATTAATAATTATGACAAATAAAATAGTGAAAACGTGAAGGGTATTTTATTTATCATAGAATATCATTCACATACGTAAGTTTTACTTAATACAAACTACTTTTTATTGGTAACTCATACAATATACTAAATAAACTGTATATGTGGATGTAAATGTGTAAATGAAATTATACAAATGTCACAAAATACAAAAAAAAAATAATTCATGCAATGAGAAAATCTATCAGACTTTTTTTTATCACGTTGTAAGAATCATTTTAAAATTTTTAGTTTGCAAATACCACAAAAGAATATTCTTATGTTTGCTTTTGTTTTAAACTGGACAAAAACGTATATCTGGTGATTACTGAAACATGTGGATGGTTGCCGTTCCTCACGTGACAGAACCATGCGATTATCCAGACAAATCAAGTGCTTTCTTAAACGCCTTAGTTCGAAGCATAAATATGAAATCTAATGTTATAGATGGAAAGGTATCACGTTTTTTTGTTGCTCGCAAATAGGAGGTTCCAAGTGCCATGTATGCGTTTTGTAAAAAAGCAGGTGAGTCTTAAATTTGGATATTATTTTTGAAAGTTCATGTAGGCTGCCTAAAACTAAAAAATACAAAAAAGTATAATTTGGTATCTAACTAAGTCGCATGTTTAAAGAAGAGTTCCTGTTTGTGCTGAAAATTGTGTAAAACTAAAAAATTAAAATAAAAGTACAAGTATAATTACCGATTATATACGCAGTCTTACTCTTGCTGGTATGAAAAATTTTAATTTTTACACTTATTTATTGTTAACGTTAGGCTTATATTGTGCTAATATTTGAGCACTTTCGAATGGTCCACCTTTCTTCTTCAGGGCCAAGCTGTTTGCCCCTTTCGGAAGCGCTCGGGTTATAGGGTTTTTATTAATTTCTTCAAGACTTTTTGAACCAACGTGTTTTTCTAACTTTATAATTGTACTAATATTAATAAGAAACACAATGCAATCATAAGTCTTAAGATCAATGATATAGTGAAAAAATTACTTTTCTTATAACTTATTATGAGAGCATTTAACTTAACTTTAACACCAACAGCTTAAAAACAAGTATTAATTACCTTTGTGAAGAATATGATCTCATATTCCCAGTATCTTGGCTTAGGTTAGGGATTAAAGTAGTATAAAAACTGAAAATGATGTTAACTTTTTCTTACAACTATGCAACTGCAAGTTAAATCAGACTTTTAGAGGACACAGAGGATTCCTACACTCAAAATCCATACACAAAGAGAAAACTAATCACAAAATCCAGCCCTAATCCCTTTAATATTAATACTTGTTAACTCCTTTTTTTTTAAATTTATTTAACATTGTAAGTTGCAGTCTCTTAACTCTCTTAACATGGAATTTGTTCCACAGATTCACTGTAACAATGTAAGTCTATTAAATAATGGAAAAATAAAACTGCCTCATCTATGTCTGACCTTCATGAATTTTGAATTTATGACCTGGAGCCTGTTGCTTTAGGATTCAACTTGAATAAAATTAAAAGTCAAATTTTGAATACTTAAATTAGATAGTATATGTTTTTAAGATTTATCTCATTTAAAAGAGAGAACAAGAGATCTCATGATATCCTCATATGACAAGCATCTATCCCTGGATTCATCCTGTAGCTTGTAACATACTAAAACAAACAGCTGCTACAACCAGGTTCGAACAAAAAATTATCAATATAATAAACATTGACAATCACAGGAATTCAAAATAAAACTTTCACACAGTTGGAATATAAAGTTTATCACTTACTAAAAACATAGTTAATAAATACATGCCTGGCCAGGACTTGATACTAATGTTAATGAACAATATAACATGAATATCAATGTGAATAATTACTTCAATAATTAAAGGAATCAGGAAAAAACCTAATTCCAAAAAACACAATATTCTGAATTAAAACATCTTCAAGATGAATAACAATGTTGAGTAACAATCAGCAATAATACATTTTAACTATGTTTCGTGAACTAAATTGTTCAAGCTTAAAGCTGGGTTTTTATTTAGTGGTTAGATCACAAGGTTACATTTCATGCGACTAGCTAATCTACATAATCTTTCACAACATTAATGACCAAAGCCTGGATGTAAGGGTCATCTGACAAATCTAGCTGAGAAATACTGTCCTAGACCGCAACAACTTGATATGATTCTGATATGGAAGAAAAGGATCTTGCTGTTTTGGTTGAGCAATGTTAAGTTTTCCAGACATTGTTTTGTTGCGAGTGGGAAAGTATATAAGATTTGGGCCTATGTACAGGAATCTTAAATATAAGTCAAAGGAGGTCTAGTTTGTTTGTATAGATCTCCCATATCTGGTTAAGCATCATTTAGGGTATTATGTTCAGTCTTTGGCCCCATACTTTAAGGACACTTAGTTATTGGAAAAGTTCAAAGGAGGACTACTATGATGTTTTCATGGATGGTGGGGCTGTCATATAAGTACAGGTTAAGGTCCTTAGTTATTTGTCTTGAGTAAAGAAGAGTTAGAGGAGATCTGATTAAAATGTTCAAAATTATAAAGGGAGTAGATAGAATTGATGTATCATTTTTTTCTTTATGTTTTAGGGTAAAAGTAGTAAGATTAGGTGATGCAGATATAAGATTTGGTAGAATAGAAGATTTCTGTAAATTAGACAATTTTATTTTTGAACAAGATAGTAAACCTTTGGAATATATTGCTTTCAGATGTGGTAGGTACAAAATGATTGGAAGAGTTCCAGAGAGGGTTAGATGATTACTTAGGTAGTTATTACTGGATATAGGCAGATAGGTGTTTGATGAAATAATTAGAGCAATAACAATGGGCAATTTGTTGTCTTCAAATGTTATTTTAAAACTATAGACCTTAAGGAAGATTCATGAAAGTGTTTCAAAGAGACCTCCCAACAGGTTACCAATTATAAATCCACTTTATCAACTGATCCACCTGCTAATGATGACCTTTAAAGAGAAATTATAAATCTTCATTTTTCTGTGAACAAAAGTGAGGAACACTTAACTTATAATCTTGGTGGATGATCTGCAGCTATTTTTGATTCATCAAATATATGGGAGAATCATTAAACCTCTAGTTTAATCTATATAAATAAAATAAGAGTTTTGTCTGTACATTGCTCAGAATAGTGTACTTTTTGCATATCTTCACGTTTCATACACCAGAGAAGCCGAAACAAGCCTTATCTCAATTTCTGTCTGTCGGTAACGCTTGCGGATGTGTTTTTGTTCGCTTTTCACGGGAAAATGAGTGCACCGTTTTCGATGCAACTTTTTTTCTTTGTTTTATAGATGTGTAAGAAGGTTATAGGCTACTTGAAACTGTCACATGCCTTTTGGAAAGAAAACGGCAGCCGCTCAAAAACCTGCTTTGGTG